AGGCTTATAGTGCAGTTCTTGTATCTTCTTCCAAGGAATTGATGACCCCTGAAATTGTTGAACTCTGGGGGCTGTATAGGTCAGAAAAATACATGCTAAAGACCTGGAGAATAGAGGAAGGGTTGTGGACTGGATGGCTGTTGCAGGTTCTGATCTGGGAAATGTAGTTCATGCCAGAGCTAGGATGTAGCATTCTAGCTAAAGGTCTACTGCATTTATTTCCATATTTATAGTTAGACATGGTTAGCTTGTCACAGAATGTGACCATGGATGAGCTGAACAGGTCAAGAAGTTTGGATCTCGTAGCCAAGATCTCTAACATAGTAGCAGGTGATGGTGCATGCTTGTGAGAGGTCCTTGTGAAGAGTCCTCAAATGGTCCAAGGTAAACAGTATCATTGTGAACCTCTCTTTCTTCAGCCTGGATCCCTGTTGAATAAATACACCTACATCTTAACACTGACTTTAAGGGTAACTCTACTTTTATGGGAAAAAAATAAATAAAAAAAAAGTATATAACATATAGAATTGCGACACAAATCATATTGTAATTGAATGTTATTAAACATTACCTTTCATTTTCAATTGGCAGTACTGTAGTTTTCCTGAAAATGCAATACAATATGGCAACCTGGAGGCATTATGTACACAGATGGTGTGAAGAGCACCGCCCAGATATGTAATTTCCTGCTTGTGTAATTGGGTTTCTGAATTTCTCAGAAGTGTGCACTAAAATACAAGTCAGATTTTTGGCATAACCTGCAACAAAAATGTAATATTTGGTGAGATACTCCAAAAGGTAAATCACATCTAAAGGGATGCAGACCTTGACACGTTCCTCATTAGAGCCCTGCAGGTAAAATCACTCCCAGTAGATTCACTTTCCACATGGACACAGAGAAACAAGCAGCTATTTCTTCCGAATAACAAAAGGTAGGAATCCACAACAAAGTTTATCAAATTCCCTGCAATGTACATTGATCCCCCAGATTGTAATGTTTTTTTTTTTAACAAAGTAAAGTGACTTTTTACGGGCTTCCACTGATAAGGAAGGGATACAGGGTTGTCATTAAGACATCAAGTCCATTCATTTAGGGGGGGGGGGCATGTGGAACAGTCTGATGAAGAAAAATGGGGAGTGATTAGACCATAGCATTGCATCAGTTGCGATTGCGACCAATCCAGCAAACTATGGCAAAGAGTATTCCAGTCTAATGTAAATCTGGTGTGTATTAGAGAAGAATGTATAATTTTTGGATTGTGGATAAAGGATTTGCTGAGACTGATCACTTTCGCTGCTATCATAAAGGGCCAGGTTGAATTGAGTATTAACTCATTTTAATTTTACATCTTTTATCAATGTATTACCACGTGTTTATTACTGTATCATTGCATGGGTAATATTAATTGTAGCATCATTTTATTTATTCATTTATTTACTTTTACATTCATTCTAATGGTCCCTTCCCACTCTGGCTTTGAGGGGAGGGGTTTTCTCTTGAGGTGGTTTTTGTTATGCACTTGTCATACACATATATATATTAAGGCATTTCACTTGTTGGGTTCAGCTCTGTGGAAGGGGATATGTCCCTGAAATGCGTCAGGACAACTGCACCACCAGTTGGATACTCTTTCATTGTGGGCCATCATTGTGGTATTTAGACTTTTGCATATACTTCATTTTGCGAGTATGTTTTTTTGTCTTTTTTCTTTTTTAATAAACCTTGGATAATGTGCTTGGTGTTTGCACCACCCATGTGCTTCCTTTCCAGTTTTTGTGGATAAAGGATCCTCTAGATGTCTACTAGACACAGGTCAAACCACCTTTTCTTAAAGATCTTCAATTTAAAGTAGGAGATTGATGATTTAGAGTGGGCAGAATCTAAAGAGGTCAGATTAAAGTGCCCTCCCAGTATGAGTTCCCAGACAGCAAAATCAGAAAGAATTATGAGGTATTGGAGAGCCCCAGTTATTTGATTGGAGTTAGGCAGATAATAGTTCATCTCGGTAAAAAGTCATCCCCATAAAGAACGTAATCAATGAATACTTTCCCTGGGGGTCAGCCTTTTGGTCTAACAAAATGATCGGAAGGTTTTTGTGAATGTACAATACTAATACTAGCTGGTGAGGCACAAGTATGAGAGAAGTAGCAAAGTTCTAGTCGCCCAGAAAACTGACTGTATTAACCATTTAACCACCAAAAGGTACAAAGGCAGTCCATTAACATTCACTGAAAGGTGAAGTAGGATCCCAAGGGAATCTCAACACAGAGCAAGATCTTTGTTGTTGAGTATGCTGAAGCAGTGGAGTTGCACAAGATGGAGTTCTGCCCTCCTCTGGGGTACAGCATCCTTGCCCAGAAAGGCAAAAAGCAGCAGGTAAAAGACAGCACAAATTGTATAGCTTCCTTATTTATCTGGACACTAAAATGATGTCCTAAGTGATAGATAGCACCCATCGCCCAAAGGTGTACAACAGAGGTCTCAATATTCTTTACATATAGGGGGTCATATGGGAGAAGTCAGGAAGTAACCGTAGAGGGGCCCCATAAAATTCTCCAAGCCTTTTGCAGAATTTCCGTCTTGAGGACAAAGCAGAGTATCTTGCAGAGTACATCATGTGGAACTCCTGTAGAATTCCTTAGGGGACCAGACACCAGGTGCACTCGAACAATTTCAACCTCAGTGGTAGGTTCCTTACCAATAACCATATTGAGGATTGCAAGGACTATGTGTCTGAGTTATTGTTTCTTCATTACTTCAGGTATTCCATGAAGGCAGAAATTGTTGTGCCTGCTCCTGTTCTTGCAGTCTTCCACTCTGAGTGCATCACTGGCTCCTCCCAACTCCAGATCATGTGACTTCATCAGGGGTGAACGTGATCTAACGCATTGGGAGGAGCCAGTGGCGTCATGCTGTAGACCGGAAGTGTGTGGTTGGATATCTTGTTGGAGGTTTTCCCTATTGGAAGGTTTACATATTGCAGTGCACCAGACTAAGTGCACATTTTAAGTTAAGTATATGGATTTTTAAATAAAAAATACTGCACTTTATATGGAAAACACTATATATTTTTCTTTGTCTTGAGTTCCAAATGAATATTGTCTAAAGGATAAAAGTGGATGGAAATGGATTGAGGAACATCTGGGAACTGGAGTGAGAAGTACTGCCATGGCTTATGTGATCCCCCCTTAAAGGGAAAGCACACATGACCTAAAAATGGTTAGGTCAGATTATAAGGTGAGAGCATAAGTCGGTTGGTGGCTGAATATGCACAAGTGGTGAAATGTATGTTACAGAGGACATTTGGAAGAGTTTTGGGTAATGTTATGAAGAGTTTTCAGCGCATTTTATGAAAATTTATATTTTTGGAAAATTGCATGTACTGTATATGGACACATTGGACTTTTTATTTATGATTTTGATTGACAGCAAATTATTTATGCCACAAGATATTTATGATATAGGACACATATGTATTCACATAATCACATTTAAAGAGGAAAAATGGGTATTTAATTATTTATTTTCATTGCTGAATGGTTTTTCTAATAATGGTATATTGGTATATCACAGGGCACATGTATATATTTAGATTTATTTATGCTAAGTATTGCATGGCACTGTTTGAGTAATTTATTCACTGTTATACTCATGGGAACAAATGAGTGTGGGTGGCAGTAATAACAGCATCATGATAATTTAGAAAAGCTTGTATGGTATAGATTCGCTAGAAAAATATCTTTCTTTCTTTTATAGATAATTGGTGTATTGTATGATTATTTGATTTATTTGACAATATATACCCTGATAGTGATTGCGCTTATGTTTCCTTGACTTATTTCCTAGTAAATCATGTATGTTGTCTCCACTCACCGTAGGAGCCTCTGCAGACATGTGGACAGGAGCAGGGGACAGGAGCATTGTTGATAGTGTTGGTTGCTCAATCACAGGTGGCAGGGTGGAAGAGCCCTTCTTCTGCAGCTGTGAGGATGTAGCTGGCTACTCATTGGGAATTCTGTGAAACCCAATGAGAATCCTTTGTACCTGCTTCCCTTTTTGCTGCACTTTCTGGTGCACCATCTTGGATGTTCATTGCTGCTGTTTGTGCCCAGAAGCACAGAAAACCCCCGGTGAGTAAACACCCTGTTGTTGGAGAGAGGGGTCGCAGCTGAAGAGAGAGAGGCCAGGTTGGGTGTTGCCTTATAAAGTCAGGCTGTTTTCACCGCACAGAACTCGCAGCCCCCCTCCCAGACTGGGTTTGTTTTAATTAGATATTTTATTTTGTTGTAAAATAATAAGAATATTCATACCAAATAAACATTAAACTTTCACATGTTCAAAGGAATCATACTCTTCTTTCTCAAGAAAGAAAATAAAAAGGAAGGGATTCCTTTGAAACATGTCAGAAGCAAGGTTGGGTAAACTGGTGTGGTGTCACAGCCAGCTGCTTGAGTACTACCAAAAAAACCTTTGTCCCTTGTCTTCAGCCAGGGCCTATGGAAGCTATCCATGCATGGATTAGGACAGATTCAGAAAGCTGCCATTAGAGCTGGAGATTGCTATCACAGTGTTGCAGCTTAGAAACTGCATATAATTACTAGTTTTGCGACCCCTGGCCAGTCCATCCCCCACAGTTATTACCTTTTGTACCACTAGCCCCTCACTCTTAGATTGTAAGCTCCAAGGAGCCCTAGCCCTCTTGCATTGAACTGTATTGTTGCTGTATTGTCTCCTGTTATATTGTAAAGTGCTGAGCAAACTGTTGGCGCTATATAAATCCTGTATAATAATAATAATGATAATAATAATAATAATACAGATCTTCAAATGGGAGCAAATCTCTATGATTCTGCAACATTCCTTTTAATTCATAAAGACTGGTGGAGATAGATTTTGCAGAATGTCTCTCATGCATTCTAGAAGTAGTGCATCATATGCCAAGTTCATGTACTAGTCTAGAACTTGTATTTGAACTTTATGCATGCTGTGCCACTTTTAGAATGAACACAAAATCTAAATGAATACCAATAAAGTGCAACAAACTAATATCAATAGGTCATTATATGGTCAACATATGGACACACTTGTGTACACCAGGGGCGGACTGACTACTCATGGGGCCCCCGGGCAATAGGGGATCATGGAGCCCCTGTGTCCTTGGCCAAACTCAAAAAGCCTATGAAAAAGGTACCAGGGGCATCTCATGGGGCCCCCTACTGAACCAGGGCCCTCGGACAGTGCCCAAGTTTCCAAATGGTCAGTCCGCCCCTAGTGTACACCCTATGTGATCTTCCTCCAGCTCCTCTTCCAGCACCGCCACAGTATGCACTCCTCCAGCTGATGCTCTCATATAATATATATTATGGAAAACAGAAAAGTGGAACCATAGTGCTCTCTATTTATAATACGATTTATTAGTGCACAGATTAAAAACACTTACAAAACGTAAGAAAAAAGTCAGCATATAATGTATATTTCGTTACATGGTTCACCACCAGCTCACCCGGATGATCATCAATTCAAAACATCTAAGGCTCAGCTCCTTCCACCTATACATGCTGTGCCCCAGATTCGGTCTTCCTCATTAGGCCTTTTACAAAATCTGTCCACACCAGTTTCTCACTGTACATCAAAATAGAGTTGGTCTTAAGTAGCTCCACTTTTGTAAGATGCGAACTGTCAGTATTTTTTATTTTGAATTTGGCACAATCAGTGCACCACAATGTGCAAATGCTGCATTTAATGCACCACAATGTAAAAGTGATGCATTTTAGAACTACCTGAATTTGTGTCAGCACCTGTGGTAGTGAGCTCTTTTGATCCACAACTTGGGGTTCCCCAGGGCGTGGAGTCTAAGCCCCAGCCTGCTTGTTCACCAGGGCCCCTGATGGTGGGGATGGATTTGCAGCAGGCTGGGACCAGGTCATGGCCCCCAGGTACACCCAGCTGAGGTAGAGGAGACCGCTAGCGGGAGCAGGGTACAACGGGAGAAGACACAGGGAATCCAGTAGGCAAGCCGAGGTCAGGACAGGCATAAAACAAGCAAGGTCAGGAACGAAGCCGGGGTCGGTACACAGATAGACAATATAGGATTCACAGTAGAGACACAAGTTAGCTCCAACAACTAAGACGTTGCTCAGGCAAAGTGGGCTAGACTGAGCATGTCTTATATAGACAAGCAAACAAGGAGGCGGGCCAGGAAGTGATAGAAGGGAAGGAAACAAAACCCAGAGGACAGCAGACAACGCCCACAGATGATCACAGACAAACACACATGTGAAGGAATCAGGAGCAGCAAGGAGGTAAGAATAAACGCACAAGAGGCTGCAGGCTAACTTGTGACAATTTGGTGCATGAGTCGCTATCAGAACCAAAGTGTCACAAATGCCTTATGAATTTGGCACAATACATTAACAAGACGGATTAACGCCAGAAAAGTGGCAAAGCAGCTTTACTGAATTCCCTTCATTGTGTCTATCAATTAGCCAATGGCAAAAGCTGAAAAAGTTTGCAATTTACTTCAATACAATTTGTTGTCTTTTTTGTGTGAAAAAAACAAAGTGTTTTTTGCTAGGAAATTACTTTGAACTCCCAAACATTATATATTTTTTTAAATCAGACACCAAATTGGTTGGTGCTGCAATTATTTTATGTTACATAGTACTCGTGCAGCAATGTTTCAAACTAAAATTTTTTTGAAAAAAAAAAACGCTTTTTTTTTTACTTTTTTTTTTTTTAATTTAAATATTTATTAAATTTTTCATGTTAATACAAAAACCCAAAAAAGGAAATAATTCTCATACAAATAGACATTTATAACATTTCTACCTTTCCCTTACTAAAAAAAAACTCTTTTCTTTCCCATCCCACTAACCCCCCTTCCCGCCCCTCATCCCCCCTCCTCCCCCTCTGCAGACTCTAGCCTATTCTAATCTCTTGAGGCTTATTAATTTTTTGCTAACATCCTAGATCATATTTTCCTATATTTCTCTTTCAATCCTGCTCTTTCCCACTTTTCCCATCTCCTAAAATAAACTCTCATCCTATCTTCCTGCATATGGTATGATCTTTCCATTCTACCTATCTGGTTTACTCTATTGATCCAGTCTTCCTCCTTCGGTACCTGAGATTTCCCCCAAAACTTGGGTATCAACCCTTTCGCCGCATTCAAGAAGTACCATATACCTGAATCTTTATATTTATTTACAGATGTCTCCACATTGTGTAGGAGGCACGTCGTTGGGTCTAACCCTATGTCAATTTCAGTTATTTCTTCAATCAGTTTGACTATTATCTTCCAAAAAGCCTGGATTTTCGGACATTCCCACCATATGTGAAACACCGTGCCTATCTCTCCACATCCTCTCCAACACATATTTGAATTTTCCCCATTCATCTTGTGCTCTACACTCTGTGTAATGTGCCATCGTGTCACACACTTATAGTTAACCTCAACCTCTTTCATACTAACATTATCGTGTATCAATCTAAACATCTTTCTCTGTCTATCTTCATCAAACCCAACTCCCATATCCCTTTCCCATTTTGTTATAAAAATTAACTTTGTATTTGTGTCTAATTCTGTGAGTATTCTATACACTTTTGAAATACCGTGCTTCCCATCCCTTCGTGTCTAACAACCTTTCAAACATATTCCACTCCTGTTATATTATTATTCCTATTAATCATGTTATGATTATTCCTATTAATATTATTCCTATTAATCATGTAGTGATATAGGTTGAGTGGCATGTTGGAGTAAATACCCTAGCCATCCACCAGATGTCACTACCCTTAATCTCCATTAGTCTATGTTTATAGCATTTATATAATTTATATACACTTTTATTTCCATATATTTTATGCTTTTAATGTCCTAAGCTCACCCTCAATAAAATGCATTGTGAGCTTATGGTTAAAGGGAGTAGAGAGAATCCTCGGTGCTCCTGATGCAGGGCGTCTGCTCAGGAGGCTTTTCAGTATGTGTACACTGTGGCACCAACAAAATGGCAACCGCGAACGCTCACTGCGCATGCGCGAATGCCTTCCCTAGTTATGAACTCTTGGAAAATGGCCGCGAACGCTCACTGCGCATGCGCGAAAGTCCGGTTTCCGTCTATGTACTCAAATCACTGGGAAAATGGCCGCTAAGTCACTAGTGCGCATGCGCGAACCGGAATCGGCGACGCAGGAATGCACAATTGCGCGCCAATTACAACTCTATATAAGCACAATCATTTACCATGGGCACACTCCCTCTGAGGAAGTGTTATTCACACGAAACGCGTTAGTGAGGTGCCCCTGACCTGTGTACCCATACCACAAGGCTATCCTGACTGACACCCTGGTGGCCAGACTCTTTTTTGGATGTAAGTTTATCCTTAAACTGTACGTGCTGTAAGTTTTGCTTATTAAAGATATACTACACTATCAGAAGCTTCTCTGGGTCTCATCTATTGTATGGGAGCCCGCTTTTGAAGGTTCCGTTTGGTTGGGAATGATGTGTGATCACCCCCTCCCCCGCTGATGATCTTTCTGGTGGATGACTTACGAATATACCTGGATTGATGACATCTGGTGGCCAACCTGCAGATGACATCCTCCTAATATCACAAGTCCAGAGCACCAGGAGCGGGTCTTAATTGCTCCATGCGCATCTCTTGCGCTATCTGGTTAGTGCATTATTTGTACAATCACGAGATCACAAGAGTCACGATTATCTCTGAACATGGATTATTTGGACAATTGCACCTATCACTTTATCTCACCATGCGATATGGACTGAGTTCTTTCACATGTGTTATTATGCTATTCATGTTCTAATTTTCCACTTGTTCCTATTAACTTTATTAGCGCTGCATATCTTATTTACATGTTCTCATTTGGGTCCCAAGGTTACCTTTTATGCTAGCTGCTTTATTCCTACGTTCCCAGCGCTCTATTATCAACTTATACATTTGGGCATTGTCATATATTCTTTTTTGAGAAATCTTGGCTTCCGACTTTTTAGACTATAGAGATGATTGGCACCCTTCCGGTCTCCAATCAGCTCTATAGTCAGCTGGCAGAAACATTCTCAGGTTCCCCCGATGGCACGAGACTGCCTGAGAAGTCCATGGAAGGCAGCGGGGGAGGGGGGCATTATCTCCTGCTGCTTGTAAAAACAATCCTGCAGCTAATTAGCCACTAGGATTACTTTTACATGAAAGCCAATCACCGGCTGAAAAAAACAATACCAGAATGATGCCTGCAACTGTAGGCATTATCCTGGTATAACCATTCAAAGCCCAGTGATGTACTAGCACATCGCTGGTCCTTGTTGGGTATATATGCTATGTTCTTTTTTTTTTTATGCAGCCTGTGGGCTGAATGAAAAAAAGAGAAGAAATCTCTGCCAGAAAAAGTGTGTGGTATGCCCACCATTAGAATATACCGCCTTGCATCCACCCACTTCTAATGGTGGGCACACATTAGGTCACACGGTGCCACATGCGCCAATTCCAAGATTGTACAATGTCTAAATAGTGGCACGCTTGAATAAACATTGTCCACGTATAAGTGGTATCCCATATGGAAAAAGGATGACACCAAGTCCCAAACTATCTTGCCACTGCTCCCCATGTAGTTTGGGCATCCAGGGGGCTGCACGTGACTATCTTTCCCTCGCAATTCCAAAACGTATATGTATAGCCTGTTCTCCTCTCACAGGTCCTATAAATCTTGACCCTATATCTGGTACACTTCCTGGGGAGAAATTGTTTGAATGCAAGGCGGCCAGAAAAATTAATGCTGGGGAGTATAGACATCTGCAAATTTTTGGTTAAGTTGATTTACAAGGGGCCGAATTTTGTGTCAAATTCAGGGCCATTCCGAGGCCGACAGAGTGATCAGTGCTAAAAAAAAGCACTGGCACTGTACTATTGGTACTGGGCAGGAATGGGTTAACATGAGGGGCAATCAAAGGGTTAACCGTGGGATGGGAGTGTTTTACTAGGGGGTGTGTGCTTCACTGTAAGCACACTGCTCTGGATGGCTCTGCTCAGACATCCAGAGCAGTGTGCCCAAAGTGACAGGGAGGAGGGCTGTTGGTAAACAATGCAGCCCTCCTCCCTGCCGGTGATCGCCGGTAATCACTGGGAGCCAGCGGGCAATCACAGGCTAAGACCCGGTGATTGACACCTGGGGTCACGATCAGCGGTGCTGGTAGGGCGCACGCGTGGCTCGCGCTTGCCCCCTAATTGAAATGCAGAATCACGTATATATACATGAT